CGGGGAGAAAAAAAGGGCGGGGAAGTTGCCGGTCATTCGTGCTTGCTGTTGGCATTTATTCTAAGGGAGAGACATCAGCTTGGGGTTTTTTTTGTTTTTTTGTTTTAAATTCATCTCTCCGCCTACCCTTCAAAATCCCCCTCGCCTCTGGTAGAAGCGAAAGCGAAAGACAGTCTCCAATGTGTCAGAATAAGCTGGGATTAAATTTGATAGAAGCTCTGGGGTGTCCCTTTTCTTGCGCCTTTTTAAAAAAGCCGACCATTTTTTTTAATTTGAGGCCGTCAACAGCCTTAGGCGAGATGAACTCGGCCGCGGTTAGAAGAGGCCTCTTACTCCTCTCTTTCATATTTTTTTTTCTCTCTCTTTTTTTAAGGGGTGGGGTTGCAAAGAGGCCGATTAGCCCAGGCGGAAAAATGTGTGTGCCGAAAAATGCCCCCTCGGCTTATAGGCGAGTCACCATTTTTTCACAGTTCTTTGTGGAAAAATAGGTCCCTCGGCTTATATTCGGGTCGACTTATACTCGAGTATATACGGTACTTAAGAAATTTCAGAAGAGATGTAAAATAAAGATGATACAGTGTAGTTTTGGGGTCCTTATCGCAAAAATCTAAAATTTGCAAAGGCAACACCAGCTGAAGTTTCATAGTTGCAATCATAGTGACTGATTAGACAATATAAATAAAAGGGAAGGGAGACATTCATATAAGGAATCTTCCTGTGGAAATGCTTACCCAGACAATAATAGAAGAGCATAAAAAGAGGATGCTGATATTTTTTTCATTTGACTGGTAATCTCTTGATGGGATTCTTCAAAGTGGTATTTTTTAGAACTCAAATGGAGATTGTCAAGGATGTGAAAACTGCAGGTTAGGTGGGTGGGGTTTTAATACTTGTGTATGGCTAAAAGGCAAAATGAGGCAAGGCATATATTAAACATTCCTTAAAATGTAACAAATACAACTTTCTAAAAAGACATTTAAAGTACTCAATTTGCCTCCTTAATGCCATCATCAGTCCCTTAAAAACAAAACATTTTGTAGCACTTTGCTATTACAAAACCCTGCAAAATTATCAAAATGTAAATAATGTATAAACAAACAAAACATACCCCTTATGTTGGAGTATAATTTTCAGTGAGTTGTGTGAAGCTCAATATGACCCTCAAGTTGAAGGAAGTAAGACTGCTGTTGTATGGGCTTCCCTGAGGCTGTATGCCTGTTTAATTATTCCTTTTTAGATCTACATGGTATACAATAAGCACTCCAGCAAGCCACGTGGCTACGCCTTCATTGAATATGAACATGAACGTGACATGCACTGTAAGTCCTTTTATGGGATGACTTTAACCTTTTGTGTATTTTAAAAAATAAATTTAATCTAAATTAACTTTTTATTATAAAAAGCATGTGTTTTATAAACATCCCTTAACTATTTTAAGCCCTTAAGTTATTGAGGGCTTGGGTTTCCCCCCCAACAGGTAAGTACAGAGTGGGGGAGCGTAATTTGGTTTGGTGAAAACCCGAGTTCCATTAATACAGCTCAGATAGTTTTTCAAGGGATCTTTATCAGATTAACAGTGTAGTCTAAAAGGAAGGAAGTTTTTATCCCCTTCTCTTAGTAGACTTTGTAATTCTTGGAAGATACTGTATTGGGTCTCTCAGTTTATTCTAGGTAAGATGTTTCTCTTGGGAGCATACCTTTCATTCCTTACCTAGTTTTGGAAAATCTAATTAACGTAGTTGGGGTGCCCCAAATTTAATCTGTGTGCTAAAGTAACAGGCAACAGTTCCTGTCCTTATCCCCTAAATTCCTGTGTTTGGGATGGATCCCTATAAGCTAAGGGTGGGCAGCTAGTCATGCCAGCATCTTTTGGGGCAGGCTAGAGTTGCTGCTTGCATTATGGGTCCCAGGAAAAGTTGCCCCTGAACTGTTGCCCATTCTTTTGTGTTAAATTTTTAAAGAGGGAGAATGAATACTATGAAGTTCTTCTGAAGCAAGTGTTACTTTGAGGGTGAAGGTTCGTTCTCCGAGCTTGTGGGTTTGTTTCAGAACATTTTGTTACCAGGCTAGGTAACATCTTCAGCAGCATTTAGGGGATGTCTGTGTCAGTTCTCTTCTGTTTATAAGGGCTTCAGGTGTGGGTGTGTCAAGTGAGGGTCTTGTGATGGGTCAGGTGTGAGTCATCAGAGAGAGGCTTGTGATGGGAAGGTTACTTCAAGTCAGGGTCGTTGGGTGCGAATTATCAGGGACTTGTGATGGGGAGATTACATCAGGTCAGGGTCATTGGAAGGTGAACTGAGGGGGGAGAGGGGGCTTGTGTGGGTTGGTTGTAGGTTGGTACTGTCTCCTGTTGGCTGTGCAATTGATTTGGATTCTGAGGGGTTCATAGGCTGGTTGTAGATCAATGTATCTTGATGGAATTGCTTGTGGAGTGCCAGGCTTCGATGAATTCACGAGAGTGGCAGGTGGTAGTGTGGCCAATGATTTTAGTGTTGCTCCAATTGAACTGGTGCTGTTTGGTGTCGGTGTGGGTAGCGATTAAGGATTTGGGATCGTGTCATTTGACTGCTAGCCGGTGTTCGTGGATCCTGGTTTTTAATTGACATGATGTTTGTCCCAGGTAGAATTGGTTGCAATTGTTACAGTTGATTTTGTAGATTACATTGTTTCTTTCATCCTTCTGTGTCTTGTCTTTGGTTCTGGATAATTCCTGGTGGAGTGTGGCTGCGGGTTTGTGGGCTATCGTTATTCCTAGGGGTTGGAGAATTCTGGCTGTCATTTCCAACACCCCTTTTGTGTATGTTAGGGTTAGTTTTTCCATGGCGGTCGGCTGTGTGGTATGGTGTGGTTTGGGTGCTGTGTGTCGGAATACGAAGTTTTTTTAATATAAACAGAAGAGTACTGACACAGACATCCCCTAAATGCCGCTGAAGATGTTACCTAGCCTGATAACGAAACATTCGGAAACCAACCCACAAGCTTGGAGAACGAACCTTCACCCTCATCCTATACCCGAGCTACAGATATTCACCACTATTGCAAAGTGTTACTTTGACCTGAAGTTGTGTTTTGAAAAGATGTTGTTGAGAGGCTGTTGTGAGCGGGTTGTATTAATTCTATGTTCTTATTGTCACTGCAGCCACCTTTCTGATGGCTATTGCCACTGCTGGCTTGCAGCTGATCCTTATGCTTCCCCTTTACAACATCTCATTGTATGGTTGGTATAATTGGTAAGAATCTCAGTACCCAACACACTTCTATACACAAGCCAGGTCAAACGCAGATGCTAGATAATATGGCTTAGTTGGGGATGGAGGGAACGAAGGAAGGAGTCTATTTCTCTTTTTATTTCTATGCAGGTAGTCCTCAACTTATGACCACAATTGAGCCCAAAATTTCTTTTGCTAAGAGAGACAGTTAAGTGAGTTTTGCCCCATTTTATAACCTTCCTTGCCACAGTTATTAAGTGAATCACTGCAGTTGTTAGTAACGGTTGTTAAGTGAATCTGGCTTCCCCATTGACTGTCAGAAGGTCACAAAAGGTGATCACGTGACCCTGGGACATTGCAACCATCATAAATATGAGTCAGTTGCCAAGCGTCTGAATTTTGATCACGTGACCATGGGGATGCTGCAACAGTCATAAGTGTGAAAAACAGTCATAAGTCACTTTTTTCTTTGCTGTTATAACTTTGAACAGTCACTGAATGAACTGTTAAGTCAAGGACTACCTGTACAACTCTCTTGCTGTGTAGGAGAATAAGAAATAGGTTCCTCGTGCTGTAATATTAGTTCTGCATTTTTCAGCCTAAATTAAATGGAGAGGGAGGGAACAACAGGCCAGCCATTTCTGGAATAGCTCAAATATCCTGAGTGAATCCTCCCTCCTTAAATCACACATGTACCATTTTATAGTCTTTATAATCTGTGGACTTAAATAAGCAAACTGGAAAGAGAAATAGGCAGAATATGTTTCAAAGGAATCAAAATATTTCTGTAGCATATAAAACTGGTAGAGAACAGATATATTTCATATTGCCTAATCCAAAATAAATGTTTCCTCTTAATCACATATTCTAATTTGTGATTTGTACACTATATAAGGGATATCTTGCTTGAGTGAACATGTTCCTGGAATCTGTTCTTGAATTTAAAAGTTAAAGTTGTACTTAGATAATGGAAACTTTCTTTCCAGTTTCTAGATTATTTCAGTTAGAAATAGGATTGGAAAAGAGTTGATGTGGTTCCCATCTTGAAAAAAGGGGGGGGAAAACAGACCCTGGAAACTACAGACCAATCAACCTAACTTCAATTCTTGGGAAGATACTGGAAAAGATAATTAAAAAATCAGTTCTGCGAACATCTAGAAACAAATAGTTAAAACTAGAAACCAGCACGGATTTGTTAAAAACAGATCTTGCCAAACCAATCTTATTTCATTCTTTGACAAAATTACTAAATTAGTAGACCAGTGAAATGCTGTAGACCAGGGGTGTGAAAATCGCCACGTGACGTATCGTGACTTTTTTCCCCTTGCCGGAGCTGGGGTGGGCGCGGCTTCCGCATGATGCATCCGGGCCATGGGCCGGCAGTTTGACACCCCTGCTGTAGACATAGTATATTTAGATTTCAGTAAGGAATTCGACAAAGTAGACCACAACCTACTTCTTGGTAAGCTAGAAAAATGTGGGATAGACCGCATCACCACCATATGGATTTGTAACTGGCTGACAAACCGTACTCAACGAGTAGTCCTTAATGGTACTACATCTATATGGAGGGAAGTAAGCAGTGGGGTACCACAAGGTTCCAATACATTCATAAATAACTTAGATGAGGGAATAGAAGGGGAACTCATTAAATGTACAGATGACACCAAGCTGGCAGGAATAGCCAACATCCCAGAAGACGAGCTCAGGATCCAAAAAGATCTTGACAGACTTGAACAATGGGCCCTATCCAACAAAATGAAATTTAATGTGGAGAAAAGCAAGGTTTTACACCTACCATGTTTCCCCGAAAATAAGACCCAGTCTTATATTTTTTTTTTGCCTCCAAAAGAGGTGCCAGGTCTTATTTTGGGGGGATGTCTTACCCACTTACCTTAGGACCGCCGCAGCCAGGCCTCCCACGGCCTGACACGTGCCTTGCCGGCCCACTTCTGGTTGCCGCCGCTCACGTGTGTTGCCCCCAACCTCCGTTTTGCCAGCAGAGGCCTTCAGGAAAGTTCTCTGCAGCCGAGAAACGAGCTCCAGAAAGGCCTCTGACGGTGAAACGGAGCCCGGGGGGGGGGGGAGTGCCGTGCGCATCAGTCCGGGGCGGAGTGCATATTTTTGCATGTGTCTTGAAGTTTTGCTTGATAGGAAGCAACACTGAGGATATTTGAGCTCTACTTTTAGCTAGTAAATTAATGGGCATTTGTACTAGTAGCCTAACTTGGGGCACAAAGCTAAGTAGGTAGATTTTTTTCTAACTATCCCTGGTATGGCTTGCCAAGGTCATAATGAAACTTGAAGTGGGACATGATTGGGATGTCTGTCTCAACAGAGATTCTAACTTACTGTTCCCCTGAAATAAGGGTTTCTGCTTGAAAGCAGGCAACTATACTACTGTCGCTGGGTTCCTGAATACTGGTAGAGAGGGCATTTCAGACACATCACACATTTGTTTTTTCTTGTATCTTTTTTTTCTCTCTGGCTTCTTTAGTGTAGCTCTTTCAGTTCATTCAGAGCTTTCCATTCTGCCTGAAAGAGGCTATACCTAGGAATGTTAAGAAAGCTGGTGGCTAACATTCAGGACTTCTTTATGGGGGCGCAGTGGCTTAAAGACGCTGGAGTTGTCATCCAGAGATGGTCGGCACTCTGGTGGTTCAAGCCCATGGCACTGCATGGCAGAGTGAGTTCCCATCATTTGCCCCAGCTCCTGCCCACCTAGCAGTTTGAAAGCATGTAAAAATGCAAGTAGGCAAATAGGTACCACTTCGGTGGGAAAAGCTAGCAGTGTTCCATACGGAAGTGGGAGCCAGTGCTGGACTTGCCTGGATGCGAGGCGAGGCTGGCGGAAGAAAGCCCAGATGACTGGACATCCCCCAAATGCTGCTAGCCAGCTGGTGCAAAGCTAGTTCTTCCCCCGTGGTGTACTGTGGATATCGTGCATGTGTGAAGAAAATGAACTAGCAACCTTAGACTGCCAGAACTACTCTGGTAAAAAGCATTGTAGACTTTTTAGCATATGGCTATATAAGCCATATGCTAAAAAAAAAGGGGGGGTGGAGGGACTTCTTTGGCCTCCCTGAATTTGTAGTTGTAAGAATATCTTT